GGAAAGCTAAACTAACTCGCAATACGTGATAACCTTCGGTACCACCACCAGGAATATTTGTACTGCCAGAATTTCCCATTAAAATTGCTGAAAAAAGTTCGCGAAAACTAATAATCTATTATTTAGGGGTAAAATGCATCTAAACATGTCACCATTTGCGTAAATACAAAAGGAGATAAATAAAACTAGCTTTCTTTCTCTCTCTGTTACAGGACGAAACAATCGAACTCAAAATCCCTTTCCGATACAACAGTCATACCCGTTCAAAGATTTTGAAATCCTAGAAGAACTTGTTGGCCATTCTTTAAAGGCATTTGTAGGTACAGGTAAATCAACAGTGGAATGTGTAGAATGTTTAGGAATATCCTGGACTCCGGTATCAACCGGATATTTAACCTGGATCCCAACGTTTATACGCTAATTTCGACCGAGACATTTGAGGTCGTACCCGGGCTTCGCGGTATATTGTAGCTACGCAACTCAAGGACAACTCATCCAAAGATCCCAATTTACCCTGATATTGTGCTGCTAACGTTCTAATGAACCGTTTCGGCAGCCTGCCAAAAATCCTAGTTCTCCTAGATTGATGTATAATAGTATTTTCCGGAATTCCGGGGACTGGGATGTTCATCCGTTCAATTGTACAAGTCATATGTATTGTATTATTTTGTTCTATAAAAATTTTCTGAAAACATGGTAGCTCTAGCTGGAATCATTCCATTTTGGTTTCAGATGTTTTGAGCTTCTTATTTCTGGAATCATCTGAGTTTTATGTCTTTGGAATCAGAAAATTCATTAAAGCTACGTGATTGCCAATTTTGCTTTATTATACAACATCTTAGTTCCCGTACGTTCGTTAGATTGCTAGTAAACATTATTCACTTTTGATATTATCCGGATAAAAAGAACCGGATGCCATTATGAGAATGCACTGTCTAGTTACTTTCAACATCATCATGCAAAAATGACACCAATAATTTTCAGTTTTATATAACGTATTTGTTGGAAAAGGCGACTGGCAAATGATGTTGCAAGTAATTAGACAATAAAAAATCTTCCGGTTTCACATCACTGATACCATAAAAATTATCGAAATATTGCACCGGGTCCATTTATTGTTTTTTTTTTCTTTAATCAGATTTGACGCTAACATGGTGCTGCGTCATGTGTCAAGTTTCGTATAGGTTGTGCGAGCATGCATGTCAATCTGTGATAATACTAATTGCGACTTTAGAATGGAATTACTTCAAACTTACGCGGCTAGCAGTGATGGCGCTTCATCGGATGATGATAGCGAGTTGAAACATTACAAACAAATAACTCTAAAAAATTGCCAGTCACTTGCTCTTGCTGGTGAACTTGCACCACTTGTTGGTACAAAAATGGATGTCGGTGGTGTACGTTGTATTGATCCACAAACCAAAGAACTTTGTTATAATCCGAAGTATGAAGAACTTTTCCAACCGATGGTATATTTTCTATTTCAGATTTACTGGAAAAAGCTCAAGTTAATTTAACACACCATTGAAAATTTAGTTTAGTAATTGGAGTAATAGCAATTCAAGTTGGAACTGAAATCAAAATAGTAATTGATCCATTTACATTTAGAAATGCAAACTTTCTGACCAGTTGTTATAACTTTTTTTCCGTGGAAGATTAGGAATTAGCTTATTATCGAAATTTCTTGCGATTTTTTCGCATGAGTAAATGGTCTGTTAAAAATTATCAGTTAAGATCATGAGATGACGGAAGAAAAAAAGAAAAGGGCAACATATTGTTTACATATCCTCTCTTGGGATTCTTTTATATTTAAGTCACAGGCGTAATTAGAAGCTAAGGAATGTATACATGAACTTTCCCAAGTACGTGTAATTAGTATTGGAATGATCACTTTTCATTAGTCCTGAGAATTCTGGCTTAGATGGTAGTGATTTTCAACTTTAGCTTTCAGAATACCTCAACAGGCTGCTATTTCATTCGAAATCAAGTTTTTATTGTATTTCTTTCACTCTTGATGTATTCCCAGGCTGGACCATCAAATCCTTTCAAATCAGCCAATCAGAGAGCGCCAAAAAATATGTTAACTGGTTTCGTGGAATCAGCTCATGTGAATAATTTCCAATTTGAACAACAGATTAGATCCTTCGATACGTTAGGATTTGCTCGTGATCCATCTGCTGAACAGTCTGATCGGTTTATCGGTGATACAAAAAAGGTACTGTGAAGTGACCGAAAATTTGTTGTAGGTACTAAAATTTGTTGTAGGTACAGTACTACTGTTGTAGGTACTGTTGTCGAGAATTTCAGTAATTTTCATATTTCTTTCTCGCTAGTTTCATTTACCACTTTTCTATTTTAGGCTCAAGAAACACAAGGTGCGGGTCTTTTTGAAGGTCAAAAAACAGGTGGACAAAAACGTAGGAGGAAACGAAATATGGACCCCAGTGATGTAGAAGGATATACTGGTACTGCTGTGTTAAATTTTTGTGAATTGTCTTTTAATATTTGAAATGGTTCTATTTTTAATCCAATAAAATAGTTGATCTTTATTTCATTGGCTTAAGATTTTTGTTTAACCTGCTCTGTATTGAAGCGAAATAAATTCTAGGGCCGTGGGCAAGATTTGTGGATGAAGTGGAAGTTTCAAGGCCGGATTCGGAATTGGCGAAGGAGTTGGAAGAAATCGTGAAGAAACGTCAAAAAAATAGTCGTGCGGGACGTAAAGCAGCACAGCAGCAAGAAACTATTGCGGATGAATCTTCTACATTACATTGTATGGTTTTCTTTTGATATGAAGGTAGCATATTAGGAAGTTGTTTTGTATTTAAAAACACACGTCTGCATAGGTTTGATCTCATTTTGCAAAGACCTAACCTTCTATAATAACCTAACCTTTTGCTTATCATTGCCTCTAACTGCAGGTTTATATTTGAAGAAAATTATGTTTGGAGTTTGAAATCGATTTTATCAAGTCTTATTTCAAGCCGTTCATTTCAGTGAAAGAAGCAGAGGATTATATGGGGCGTTCATTTATACATGCCCCACAGTATATTGGTGTAAATTTACGTGAGGATCATGTACCGGAGCGTTGTTTCATACCTAAAAAACACATTCACACTTATCGTGGGCATAACAAGGGCATCAATTGCTTACGATGGTTCCCTAAAAGTGCACATTTGTTCCTCAGTGCTGCTATGGATAGTAAGGTTTGTTAATAAAATAATACTCTTCACTTCCTCATTAGTTCTTGTTACATCTATCTATTTGATCTTTCCTGCTCCTCCTTTGACATGGATATATATATATATATATATATGTAGGATAATATCGGTTTGTGACTGACTGTTCATGTTTTAGTCATATCGCATTTCGTCAGTTTTTGAATTATGACATCTTGCATCTGGGACAGTCGCTTGTATTGAAGTTTATAGTATCTGCTATTGAAATTACAGTTTTTTTTTTTTTTTTTGTTTGTAATGACAACGTTAGGAGAATATTAGAATTGAAGTTTTTTTATTATCAGAAAATTTCGATGATCTTATTTCAGATTAAATTATGGGAAGTGTATGGAAAGCGAAGTGTAGTAAGAACATATTCAGGGCACAAAATGTCGGTTAAAGATGCTACCTTTAACAGTGATGGTACCGAATTCCTTTCAGCATCTTTCGATAGGTACATAAAATTATGGGATACTGAGACAGGTTATTTTGTTCTTCATTACTCTTCAGCAGTGTGTTTCTAGAAATTCGTTTATTGCAGAAATTTTGGTGGTATCTAGGGTTTTTTTAGCTTTATTTCTTTGGGATTTTGATGTTATGTTTTGTAAACTTTTCTGGATTTTCAACGGTGTAGTCAATTGATGTTACGATGTTACAGGCCAAGTTAAACAGCGATTCCACACTGGTCACATACCATTTTGCGTGAAATTCAATCCTGATGAAGACAAGCAAAATATGTTTTTATCAGGCATGCAAAATAAGAAAATCCTGCAGTGGGATACTCGAACAGGTGAAATTGTTCAGGTAAACTTTTCTTGTTTATTCTCCTTCCTGTGGTTTAATCAGTTATAAACCACGCATTTTTAAATTATAAGTTCTAATACCAAATCACTTTATATTTCAGGAATATGATCGTCATTTAGGCATTGTCAATTCAATCACATTTTTTGATAAGAATCGAAGATTCTGTTCGACTTCTGACGATAAGTCAATTCGAATATGGGAATGGTTAGTATTATCAACAGCCCTTTATGTTCTATTTTTAACTAGTTGCTCGTTCAAAGCCATTAGATTTATTATTTGTACTGGTGCTTCCCAAAGCTTTCGAGAAGCAGTGATTTCGTCACCCTTCATTTGGAGAAAGATTTGTCACAGTACAGACTAAGGTGATATTTCTTCCCATTCCATCTCCAGTAAAACACTGAATTGATAAACACGCATTGGTACAATTCACAGCATATATTGATATAATTATTATTTCCCTAGGGAAATCCCTGTCGATACAAAACTTATTCAGAATGCCGGTTTACATTCGATACCAACGATGACGAAGTCTCCAACAGGTTAGCGAATCCTTCGAAATTTTAAATTTTTCAAATTTAATGATGGTATCGCTTCATTACTTTTTAAAGAAAAGTACCCAATGATTTGAAATAATAGTTGTTTAAATCATTTTAGAGAAATGGATAGTTGGTCAATCGATGGATAATCGTATCGTGCTATTTCAATTAATTGATGACAAATTACGGTTTGCTAAAAAGAAGGCATTCAAAGGACATAATGTTGCTGGTTATGCTTGTTCAGTGGATTTCGCACCGGATATGAGGTTTTGAAAATTTAGTACATAGTTATTTTTGCTTGATATCTGGTTTGGAATGTCAATCAAAATGTAATCTGGAATGAAGTGCTTGTTTTTACGAAAGTGTAAAATTTTTATTTGAAATTCAAAGAGTTCCGTATGATTTTTGAAATACTCCAGTTAACAACATGCAGCTTTATTCTCTTCTCTAGAAACAATTATTTAACCATAAATGACATCCTTATTCGTTTATTTTTGGTTTTGTTTCTGGATTCAACATGCTTTTGAAATTTGAAATCCCAGCTACGAATTTTATACTTTATAAAGGATGCTCAATTCTTTTTGGAAAAACAAGTTCGCTATTATTGTTATGTCACAGTTTGGTGATAGCTGTAGAAACTCCATACTTTTCAGACGCAGACCTCACAACTTTGGGAATTTAAACTTTTTCGCTGCATTAAGTTAAAGGTGAAGTGTTATTTTCAGCTTTCTAACATCTGGTGACGCGGATGGTAAAGTATTCATTTGGGATTGGCGAAATCATAAAATAGTAGCGCGATGGAAAGCACACGATGATTGTGTTATTGCAACATTATGGCATCCACATGAAACTTCCAGAATGATAACCGGAAGCTGGGATAATGTGATCAAAATGTGGTCTTGAATGGATTTTTTTGTTTAGTGAGGTCAAGAAGAAAGTTTCTGAGACTCTAAATTTT